AATCTAATTTAAATTATAATAAAAAAATTGAATTAAATAAATTATACAAAAAAAATGAGAACTATTAAATAGTAAATTCGATACTAATATCAATTTATTTTTTTAAATTTATATTTCATTCAAAAATAAAAATATTATCGTTTTTGCATAACCACATACAATCATATTTATATTGATAGAGACGAGGAATAAAAAACTAAAAATTAAAATCAAGATTATCTTGCTGCATTGCGTGAACACCGGTATATATAAAAACAAACTAAATTAATTTTGAGATTAAGGTTTATATGGTTCCATTGCAGTTGACCTAAAACCTACCAGTTTCATAATTTTTTAGGGTTAACAAACCTCCATTTTTAAAATATTGGAAGTGTAAATTTCTATCACAGCTTTAGATACTATAAGCGTAGACGTACAACTACATGTTTCTTGTCAAATTTTCTGTTCACACACAAAAACGCATATCTTTTCTCTGTTTTTCACAAACTATATAATGAACAACCCTCACAAACCCTTTGCATCTAAAACTCAACGTTCTCTCGATATACACAGTAGAACACCATCAATGGCAGGTGTAGCAAAGGTGGCGATAGCGGTGGTGCTCATAGCCATGGTGGCAAACGTACGGTATACAACAGAGAGCGCAGTGACTTGTGAGTTGGTGGTTAGTAGACTAACTCCATGCGCCAGCTACCTGATTAAAGGAGGCCCAGTGCCTAAATCGTGCTGCACCGGTGTACAGTCATTGTACAAGGACGCAGACACCACCACTGACCGCCAGACTGCTTGCCGGTGCCTGGAACAAGCCGCCACATTGGTCCCTGGAATTAACGTCGACAACGCTGTTAACCTCCCTGCAAAATGCGATGTTTCAATCCCCTACAAGATCAGTCCTGTTTTCAACTGCTCCACGTATTTCATTCACTAACCTTACCATACTTTCTTTCTGGAGTAATAGAAATTTTCATTCTTTCTTTTTAAGGGCTTGTTTTGGAGCGTGATCTAATAGGATTTCACATATTTTCAACATGATACGTGCGGTCAGAATCAATGTCTAGTTACCACTATAAAGACTCGATACTCTAGAATAATATGTGCCCTTCTAGCCTTCATTGGAGCGTGTTTAAATCTCATGTTGGCTAGGCATGGATCGATGCTTCTCAATATATATTGGAATCTCTCTTCTCCCCTTAAGGCATGTAGTTTCACATATTCACACATGGTATGAGAGTCGAGATCCACATTTTATTGGCTTGACAATATGGTACAATTCGTGCCACTACAAAAATAAATTGATTTTATCAAGACGCCTAAAATATAGAAGTGTTCTAAGAAAAATATTTTATAGGATTTAAGTTTATAGGATCAAAGCAAAAAACGATATAAAAGTATTACAATAGGTTTATAGGACATTGTAGGTGTTTTAACAAGTTTATTAGGATGTTTTAAAATAAAGTGTCATATTAACTATTTTATGTGATACTATTCGAGAAAGTTTCATATAAACACAAGTGTCTGGTAAAAAGATGAGTTTGTTTATAGTATCCTATAAATTAGTTAATATGACACTTTATTCTAAAAGCATCATAAGAAATTGTTAAAACGCCTAAATGTGTCCTATAAACTTATTATATCACTTTTAGATATGACATTTTATAGTTTGTTCTTATAAACTTAAGTTTTATAAAGTATTCTATTAGGACACTCCGATATGGTGCCCTAGAAAAAAATGCAACAAAATTCATGATTTTAAGGTTTAGAAAACCCTTTTAAGTATATATGTTTATTGATTAAATACTTGTCCTAAAAATATTGTAAAAAAAGTTGAAAAAAATGAGTGACCAAAACAATATAACTATGTATGCCTAAATTTACACAAACAAATTTAAGATGTATGTAAATAATCATATAAATAATAAAAGCCCTTTGAAAATACCTGAAATTTATTGTAAAAAATTGTGTATTCAATAAAGTAAAGTGTTTATTTTAGAAGCCGTAGAAAACTTGACATTTATAAAAGAAGAATTTGATATGAATACATAAAGTTTCAAGTGGGTAATTAAGGTTTAAGACTATATCAATTTTATTTTTGAAGCCAATTAATGCCACTTTTGACTCGAAGGTGGTTCTGCCGCTTAGGACGATTAGATGAAACCAATTTTGTCGTAACGTGTCTATCTAGCCTTAGTTGGAGTTGGAGGGGCATGTTATATTCCTACCTAGGCCATGGGCGGACCTACCTAAGTGGCATGAGTGGTACATGCCATCGTATTATTTCTTCGTCGAAGAGTAAAAAATTTAGGTTTGTGAATAGTGCTACCGTATAGTTTTAGAAGGTGCTACCGTATTTTCCTGAAATCCAAATAGTGCAACTAAAAAATTTAGGTTTGTGAATGGTGCTACCATATCGTTTTAGAATGTATTACCGTATTTTTCTCAATTCTATAAAAATCATACTTTTTGTAATTATTTTTTGGTATATATTGACCGTTTTCAAAAGATGTAGACACGTCGAGTACAAGTTTAGGAGTTGTTTATCGATCTTATAAAAACCATATTTTTTGTAATTATTTTTAGATGTATATTATATTATATTAATTATATGGTGCTACCGTTTGAAAAAAATCCCCCCGAACTAGGCTTTATATGCTATGTTAGGAACCTTCTTTAATAATCAAATAAGGTTTCACTTATTCCGACAACTTCATTGACTTATTGTACGATACAGTAAACTATGCATAGTGATGAACATATTTTGAACTTGTGTTGCAGTGTACAATGAGAAGCATATGAAAGGAAAGTGAAGCAGGATGTTGAAGCAGATGAATAATAATGGAGATGATGATCCATGCTCTAAGCTAGTATCCAATTAGCTAATTTTACCACTAGTATTCGCTCTATCGAACACTCACTTTCACTATAAATATATATACACACAATTATATTCGGTTCACGTAATTTTTCTTTGTTAGTTATTTACCATTTTGCAGAAATCCGTCTCCTATTTCTTGTCATATCTCATGTAAATGAAATTAATGACCAAATTTCCATTACCTTCTTCTCCCAAAAATTTAGCTGATAGTTAGCAACAAGTAGTAAAAAGAACATATAGGAATCATCGGTTTCAAATTTGCCAATTCAAATGACCTCAAACTAGACCTAAGTTATCTTGATAAGAACAAAGACACGATCATGAACCTCGGTGGCCACAAGGGGATTTTTATTCCTCATTGGATTCAAACATGCGACCTTTGACATTTGGAGCACAAACTCAAATCAATCGGGCACCACCCTTGTGGTTATAGTTAATGGTTCTATATTTGTATTTAGTAAAATTATTAGTAGATCCTACTTGGTTGACATGGATGTCTAAAACCTTTCCAAAAATCCCCGATCCAGATAACTTGACAAGCACAAGCTCCTGCAGTAGCAAATTAGATGTCTATAGCTGACTTTGTGATAATTGGTTGTTTTCTTCAATTCTAGACCATAAAATAGTGATTATATCCAACATAGAAAATATAGTGTGTTGATGAACGTAGATGGGTACGTTGGATTGGTTGATTGTCATAGTTTCAATTTTTATAACAAAACTTTAGTTTCAAAATAAACGAGACAAGAAGATATAAAAACACGGTCATTTATAAACGAGAGAAGGTAGAGTATAAACGCTTGTAAAGTCAAGATTTTCCATCTCTTATTCGAATATCATATACAACCCAAATCGACCTTTCCATGTTACAAGTGAAGTCAACCATCGACTGTTGTTACCCCAAATCAATGAACCAAAGCAGGACCAACTACCACCACCATCCTTCTGTAGGGTCGGTCGCAAATACAATAGGTCCCAAACTGATAACAATAAATCCAGTGCAAAACGTACCTGATACAAGAAATGCGGATTAACAAGATCTAAATATTGTATAATGTGGTCTTATGAGTCATACCGATCCACAAACATAATATATCAATTATATCAAATATACGATAAAAAAAACAAAGCGTCACATAAATCGAGATAGCGAGATTTAACGTGATTCCACTGTCGAGGTGATAGTGTACGTCTAGAGGGGGAGAGCGAGAGAGAGATCGATTTATTACTAACCGGAAATGATTACAATGTGTTTACAAGATCCTTGGATTCAACAAATCGGTTACCCAAAGTTATACAAGAAAACATAACCCGAGAGGGAACCTTTATAGAAAAGAAATCTCATGTTATGGATGTACCATCAAGGTGATAAGCAACTTTATGGGGATAAAAAGTGGAAAATGGGCGGAAACCCTTTTCCATGTAAGTAGTAGCCTCCAAATGTGCCATGTGCTTGGTGAGTTGTATAGCATCAATAAAACAAAGTTTTTCAAAACACTCCACCATTATGTACAACTCACTCAACGAAATGAAACATGAGCCAATCCAACGAACACGAATAATAGCCGATAAAGATAGATATGAGGTAACAAAAGGCATTTTGACGTCTACGATCTTCGGCTCAACCATCACCCATCAAAACCAAAAGAAAAAAAACCCTCAAGGGCACAATCTCGAGAAAAAAAACGAGTTAAGCAACCCAAAACAAGTATTAAGTAAAAAGTCTTCAAAGATGTTGCTATGTCATCTGTAGTAATATTCTCATCTCTCCCACAAAGCGTCCAACGACAATAACACAATCTAAGTTGATTTAAATTTGAGCAATGCTCGAAATTAGTTGGTGGTAACGACTTGGTGAATATCGGTAGTATTATCATCAGTCATGATTTTATTCAAGTACACCACCCTCGCATCATGCAAAGCTACCAAAAATGCATCACACACATTTATGTGCTTCATCCGAGAGTGACTGCGAAATTTATAGCCTAGTGAATTGCATTTTGGCTATCACATTTAATATGGATAGTAGACTGATCCAAACCCAAACCAACCAAGAGAATCTGTAATTGAACTACTTCTTTAGCATACTCAACTGCCACAATATGTTCAGCTTCGGTAGTCTATAACTGACAGCCTTGCACCTAATGTAAAAACACAACACATTAGTGGATTTCCAATTGACACGATCACTTGCATAATTTGACTTGCAATAACAAAAAGTATCACGGTTGTTTTGCAAACCATAAATGAGACCGTGAGTTTCTATACCTCTCAAGTAACAAAAACTGATACAGTTTTAACTGCAGCACAATGTGACTCACCTAGATTTGATAGAAACTGATTAATCACTCCAACACAATTTGCAAGTTCGAGATGGTACATACCATAACATAACTGACTGTAGTGGCATACGGAATCTTCGCCATCTTAGCACTTCCAATATCGTCAACCAAACAATCGTCTTTTGTAATTTAATGTGTCTCGAAAGTGGCATAGATGCTAACTTTGCCCCATCAAGATTAAATCGCTTAAAATATTTTGAATATAGCCCTATTATGTCAACCGGAGAGTATGGGCCTTTCTATCCCAAACAATGTCCATGACGAGAATAACACGGGATTTACCGAGATCCTTCATTTCAAATTCTTATTTCAACTTAGCTTCTAACGCTGACATATCCAGATCTTTTTATTTTAGGGCAAAAACTACACCTACGGGGTGAATATCATTTTTCAAAAGTGTTGCAGCTGTAGTGAACTGCCATTTTCTAAAATCGCCTTCCCCATTCCATTTTTCTATTCTAATCCTGGACCCTGATAATTTAAAAGCGCCCTTCTGATAAACATTTGACTTCAGTTGGAACTAGGACTAGCAAACGGATTTCCTAAACCATCAGACATATTATCGAGCACATATAATCTTTTTCAAATTTAGATATATCAAGCTCTAATACCAATTGTAAGGCTGATCAGTTACAATATTGTATTGCCAAGTGATTTACGGTCCTAAACTGATAATAGTAAACCATAGTGCAAATGGACACAATACAACAAATGCGGATTAAAATATCTAAATATTGTCTATTATGGTCTAATGGTTCATATCGATCCACAAACGTAATATAGAAATTATATCAAATATACAATCAAAACAACAAGTTGCACGTAAATCTGGACATCAAGATTTAACATGGCTCTACTATGTGATGTGAACGTCAATGGGGAGAGAGAGAGGGAGATCGATTTATTACTAACCGGGAACGATTGCAACGCGTTTACAAGATCCTTGGTCTACAACTCAACTACCCAAAGTTTCCCAAAAACAAAGTTATGCAGAGAAAACTTAACCCGAGAGGAAACCTTTATAGAGAAGAAATCTAACGCTATAGATGTATTATCCCGAGGTTATAAGAAACATTATAAGGATAAAAAGTTGAAAATGGGCGGTGACAGCTTTGGATCATTCGTGTTCACACAGTGGGCACAAAGTCCCCACAGTGGCGGTGCAAGTGCACGCTGACATTATGATCGCTTGCAAGTAATAAAGTGGTAATATACCGAGATAGCTTCCATAAGGATTGTACTACTGAGATTCGGAGACTTCCATGAACTTCTTGAGCGAGTTTTGGTTTGTAAATAAAAGACGAATTTTTGTTTATAAAAAGCTTTAAGAGATGAAATTAGTGAAATAAACTTATAGACTAAAGAATGGGCATGGGTGTAAATGTTCCTTAAGATAAATTCAACAATGTAATGGTTAGAAACTTATGAGTTGTTTATAAAAATTCCAATCTCAACCACAAGGGTGGTGCCTGATTGGTTTAAGCTTGGCTCCAAAGGTCAAAAGTACCTGGAGGTCTCAAGTTCAAATCCAAGGAGAAATACAAATCCCCTTATGGCCACGGAGGTTCAAATGCACTATGCGCTATCTACAAAGCAGGTAGTCGCCGTGGGATTAGTCGGCTCGCATAGCGGGTTGGATATCTAGGTTAATAAAAAAATTCCAATCTCTCTAAAGTGAAAATTCATAAACAGTCCCCACAAAGTTCTCACTCTCACCACTTCGAAACTTGTCGGTTTAGCTAAACAGAAGAAGAAATAAAATTCATACTCAAATCTTTGTGTAATATGAATAATTATTGCTTAATCCTTACCTAAATACATACAAAATTCGCATATCTATGTAATTATCAAAGACTCTCTCAAGTTCTTATCACTTAAGCCGTATTTCAAATCCGCTCATCTCTGGGTCTAAGATCTAATATTAACACTTCAAAGAGATCGGCTTATCTGCGTCGAGTTTAAGTCCCCTCTTAATTGACTAAGTTTACAAGGTGGTAAAGAGTAAAAACATCAAAATATTGTATAAAAATTCTAAGTTAAACTCACACCCACACACATAACAGTCAATTAGCTCATAATAGACATAAGAAAGATAATACAAGACTATAAATAAGACTGAAATGTAACTTTCATTTAAATAAAACTAAACTATGTTCCCATAGTGGTGACATGTGGGCAGCAGATTACAACTTTAATATAAGAAAATGAAATGTTAAGCTACTTCAGCTGGTAATACTTCTAAGGGTTGTCTTCAAAGTGAATCCATGTGCCTCTTTATATAGGAGATGAATGGATAAGAATGAAGCCTTTATCCAAAGGAAATTAGGCATAAATAAACCTTGGGGCAAAGACCATCTAACAACTAATTAAAATATTCAAAATAAAACTTCAACAAGCAACTCCAGCTGGAGGAGATCTTTGGGCAAGATCTTCAAGCAAAATATCCTCCACAAAGTAGAAGACTAACAAAATTTGTGAACATCCCACAGTGGTGACACTGTGGGTAGTTGCTAGAAAATGCAGGTTTTCGAAATAATTTTTTTTCTTTATGTTTCATCATCCTTTTTAAAACTTTTAGAATAATTGGGAAAAACAAAGAAATTG